TTAACTCAGTATGTCCAATGGTGTTCAAAGTATCTGTGGCAGATTGGGCTGCATGGAGTCCAGGGCAAGCCCCACCATAAAAGGCAGTATGAAGGCTACTATACACATGGCCTGATAGACATGTTTCCATTACTGTCATTTCCTTGTGATAGTACCACATGATTTTTGTTGTTGTTAATATTTTTAAAAACTTTTAACTATGTGAAATATAAATAACATAAAATTTACCATTTTAACCATTTTTAAGTCTACAGTTCAGTGTCATTAAGCACACTCCCATTGTTGTGCAACCATCACCACCAGTTATCTCCAGAACTTTTTTTATCTTGCAAAACTGAAACTCCATACCCATTAAAAGACAGCTCCCCATTCCTCCTTCCACCCAGCCCCTGGCAATCACCATTCTACTTTTTGTCTGTAGGAATTTGCTCTAAAGTCTCCCATGGTTTTTTGTTGTTGTTGTTTTTAAGATTGGCACCTGAGGTAACAACTGTTGCCAATCATTTTTCTTTTTTTTTCTGCTTTATCTCCTCAAACCGGCCCCCCCCCCCCCCCCCACCCCGTACATAGCTGTATATCTTAGTTTCAGGTCCTTCTGGTTGTGGGATGTGGGATGCCACCTCAATGTGGCCTGACCAGCGGGGCCATGTCCGCGCCCAGGATCCGAACCCTGGGCCGCTGCAGCAGAGCGCGCGAACTTAACCCATTGGCCACGGAGCCGGCCCCAAGTCTCCCATGATTTTAATTGTGATATCTTTATAGTATCTTTTGCTTTCTAGAAAGTCTTTCCTCATTGCTTTTTACAAAAATTTCCTGGACACTCTTGTACATTTGATTTTCCAGTTGAGTTTTTGAGGTAGCTTATCAAGTTTCATAAAAAATTCAGGTGGGATTTTTGATATTAAACTGAATGGCCATAGTAAAGGTGTGACCATTTAAGCTTCAGAAAAAATGATAATTTATTAAAGCAAGTTAAGTATATTATAAAAAATCATGAGACTCTAATGACTCCAAATGAAGAGTTTCTTTTCTTTTCAAATAAATAGTACTATACTCAGGTTAATTTTATTCACGTGAGAAAAAATTTTGTTTAACTGTAAGTATAGTCTGAAGATGTTTTTATTATACTCACACAGAAGGATAAGACTCTTCCTGTGAAATATGAATGAACAGGCGCATGGGATTTTGTGTACCTCCAACACACAGTTAGTAGGGGAAGGACAGGGCCATGGAGGGCGTTGGGGGCAGACTCAAAACACTGAGGTTACGGGAGCCGGCCCCGTAGCTGAGTGGTTAAGTTCGTGCACTTGGCTTCGGCAGCCCAGGGTTTCGCTGGTTTGGATCCTGGGCACAGACATGGCACCACTCGTCAGGCGAGGCTGAGGCAGCATCCCACATGCCACAACTAGAAGGACCCACAACTAAATATACAACTATGTACTAGGGGAATTTGAGGAGAAAAAAGCAGAAAAAAAAGAAGATTGGCAACAGTTGTTAGCTCAGGTGCCAATCTTAAAAAAAAAAAAAAAACACTGAGGTTACAACCTCAAAATTTCAAAATAGGTTTATATCAGACAACCTAATATTCCTAACTATGTTTTAGCCATCTTGTACCATAAAATGATTGGACTCTCCCCAGATTTCATCCATCATATGCCAGCTAACCAGAGAGGAAGCTTTGGTTGACCATCACAAATGCCATAATTCAATATGGTATGTGGAATCTAAAGTTATTGTCTCATAATTGTACTCTCTTTGATGGTAAATATACATCTTCAAGAACACTTTTAAAATCACATTTAAGACCATTCAGGTTATAGTGTGATAGGCCAGTGCCCATTTCCCAGAAGAGGAAACCATTAAAACCCTGCCAGTTCATGTATGGATGTCTCCCATTCAGCTCTTCTCAGCAGAAGCAAACAGCTTATTTCATGTAGTACAAAGATCAGAGGGTGACCTAGGAACCCAAACTCCCTTTACATAGAGTAACTGAGGATAAACTGAAAATATGGACAGAGTCCTTCCTTAGACTGAGCATTGGAGTTTGGTATTGGAAAATTCCTGGACTGATCATCAGATCAAAATTCAATGCATTATAGTTCTATTTTTAGAAGCATCCTGGCTTCACTCATTTTGATAATGGTTCTTCCATGTGGTATAAAAAATTGAAAGAAGGCTTCTCTGGATGGCATTCTAATTGTACCCAATTTGAATCAACTACTTTGTAAGTTGAAGTATTCAACCACATGCTTAACATTAAAAAATTTCTTACAACATACATTAGAAACAACACTCCTTTCCCTATTTTACAAATAGAACTTATGTTTGTAGTTACCCTCCTAAGGTAATTCGTATCTGATTTTCATTATTTTACTTATATCAAAAAGAAACAGAGTTACATCCTAGATGCAAAGGCTGAGTGGTTCACTCTTGTGTTACTTATCATTACTAAGGATGGGACAACCAGATATGTTGTGCCTCCGGAGGTAATGCAAAAGGAAGTACACAGCACCAGATATGCAGTACCCTTGTCTAAAGAGGAAAGACATTGAACCTGACTCTAATCAACCAGTAAACCCGACATGTTAAACAAGAGCACAAGGACACAATCGGCCTAAGGTAGCCTATAGCAAGGAACAGTGCCACCTTTCAGATTATTAGTATGCATGGTTGAACTAGTTCCAGAAAGGTAAACATTTACCCACTCACCCTAGTGAACATCTTACTGAACTTTGACCAGAATTGCCTATAATAATCAGTTTTTAAAAATGTACTATTTGAATTGGGCAAAATAGTATTTGTTATTGCATTAATCTGCATACAATTGAGGTTAAATGTATTTTTTGCCTGTTGATTAGCCACTTTTTCTTTTTTTCTTTTAGAATTTGTCTATTTATATTTCTTGCCCATTGTTCTGTTTGATGCTTAATGGTTTCCTTGCTTCTATATATGAGGCCTTTATTTGGTAAAGATATTTACCATTTATCATATTTGTTGCAATTTTTTTCCAGCTTCAAGTTGGTCTTTTAATTTTGTTTGTAGTCTCACATAGATTTTAAAACTTTAATGTTGTTAAATCTGCTGCTACTTTTCTTTGAGTCTCTAACATCGCTCTTAAACTTTGGAGGTTATTCAAGGAGCTATTCTGCTTGATGAATAGAACCTGATGGATATGCAACTCCATTTTTTTCTGTTTATGGCTTGATGTTTATGTATTTAACTCTTTGATCTACCTGGACATTTTTTAGTGTAAGGTATGAAAATAGAAAATCTCATTCTTTCTGCAAATAACAAACCCACAGCTTGCATACTACATTGAATAATTCCTGTTTTCATGTAATCAATAGTAAGTGAAGTTATAATGTCATCAAGACCTCATGTTCCTTCTTTATTGCTGATGTAGAAAGACCAATTTTGCCAAAATGTGAATTGCTTTGGTCTTGATATATTTTGCTCAATTTTATTGTTTTTTTTGAGGTAAAAATGGAGGTTAGCCTTCTCCTCCCTTATGAATAACAAACAAGGGATTGATTCATTTGCATTTGATATTAGTGAATATTTCACCTATTCATATTTTGTAAGCTATCATTTAATTTTTACTAATAACAATAAATCTTGATTTGTTTGCATGCACTATTCTAAAAATAGGAAAGTTAATTTCTTAAATTACTATAAACGAAATCCTCAGTGATTCTAGTTTTAAAATGTACTCCTAAAAGGAAGTTCAAAATTTTTTTTAAAAAATCAATTCACAGAGAAAATAAAAAACAGCCAACATATCTTTTGAACTAATGGACCATGAAGAAATCAAGAGAAGGTGAATTTTGTCGTGGGAGGAGTAGGAGAAGAGGGCTGCCCATCCAAGGACAGCACCAGAGTGGGCTGGCCAGACCTTCCAGAGAAGTCATGAAACCCAGTGAGAACCCAACAAGTCTGGATTCTGATATCTTGCTGCAATATGTCTTTTAACATATTTAAAACCCAGTGGTGAAAAGATTGTCTGCCTATAGGTACACCACTAGGTGTAAATATGTTAGATGATGCCAAAGAAGGACTATGTGCCGAATTTATCTGAGCCTTCCATAGCCATTCCTGCATGTCAGAATTGAGCAAGTAGCCAGGAGGCCACAGGTGCTAGGATTGAGTAGAAAAATAATCTGGAGTAAGACTGCAGAATTGTGTATCAATTGAATTATTATTAAAATATTTCACTTTTCACATGTCTGACATTTTGAGTTCATTCTTCTACAAATTAGTAAACAAACAAGCAAAATTGTTCAAGCTAAGCTGTACAACTTTTTCGATGGTAAGAGCAGAAAACGTTCCAAAACTGTTCATTGAAAACCCACTGCTAGCTAGACCAGAATGTGTTAAACTAAAATGAAAGTTAAACATGCACCCTAGTTTACCATGTTTAGTAATAAATATAAAGTGTTTGTACTGACATGGTTTTATCTTCCCTCCCCATGGGGGAGAAAAAACCTCATAAATGTCTGTCCTTGAAAGCAGAGAGTAGTAACACGTCTATGATGTTCATAGGCTTATGACATCAGTATGCTTCAACACTAAATGGTAGACCTAGCCTGGGAAGAAAATAGAAAGGTTTTTAGCAACCCATGCCTTCACTGGACATGAAAAACATCTCCACCTGCCAATTGTCATTAGCAGCAAAATGGACCATTCTGTGACAATGCCTAGGGTCTATCTAAATATTGGGCCAAGATGGAATCGGCCACGTAGATGTGCAATCTGAGTACAAAATCTTCATGCATCTGCTATGGGTCTCTCCCCAACCACTGCAGTTAACTCTTGGGATTATTTTCTGTGTTGGTCTCACCTTGTCTGTGAGCCTGAATATTCCTGCTTCCGGTCTAGCTCCCAACAAGCTCACCTACGCACTCATTGAAGAGCATTCCAGAGGGGCCCACAGTTTATGGAGGAGCTGTCTGGAATGTCTCAAAGACATTAAATTATACTTGGAAAGAAAGAAAAAGAAAACATTTGGGAGAACCACAGTAACTTTTGGGCAAAATAAATTTTTGCACATAAAAAACATTTTGCCTTTTAAACAATAAATTCTTTTGCAGCTGAACTTCTAGACCCAAATCTTTAAGACCTTAAATTACACTTGAAAAATGAGCAAGAACAGATGATGAAAGATGATTGTGCAGTTGTGGAAAGTACGATGTCAGAGTCAGAAGAACAGTTTAAGTTTCTGCTGAGTTAGTTTCTGTGTGATCTTGGGCAAGTCACTTGACCTATAAACAAAAGACAAAATTTAAAAAAGTTAATGTTAAAGCAGGTATGTGCAAATATTAACATATTTAACACCATTATCCTCTAATGATAAAATTACTTTAATAATCAGTAATAATTATCTTGATTTGTTCTTTAGTTTTAAAACTATTTAAAAAGAACTGATATAAATTTTAAAGATACTGCATGTGTGAACTAAAACTTGCACTTACAACAAAAACATTATATCTCACAATTGGCATGCTGTTTCACTGTTTTCAATTTTATATACAAGTAAAAACTCCAAGAGGTCGCAAAGAATGAAGGAACTTAAGTAACTTGGGCTCTGCTTCTTCATCGTTACAACTGTATGCCATCTTTGCTTATGTCGCATCTACCATCCAAGTGCAGGGATATGTTATATCACAAGCGCTGGAGGCACACACTGTGCCAAAGAGAGCTCAAACATGCTGAACGGTTTGAACTTAATCTCAAAACAAAAGTGCATGGCTGAGTATTTCGGGGCTAACTGTCTAACTGGGAGTTCTCCAACTTAGCCTCCACATAGAGCGTGATATCACCAAAGCCTAAGTGATACACAGATGTGCTAATTCAAAGCTTACATGTAAATTCCTAAAACTCAACAGGAATCACTGCCTTTGGTTAGAACGCAGACCAACAAAATATTTTTTCCAAGAAGTATTTTATCAGTGACAATTTTTAGAATTGTCAGCACACAGTGACAATAAAAAACAGGTCAACTTTCAGGCGGGCTTATTGTTGTTTTTAAATTCTCTTCAACGTTCCCCTATCGTCTGCACCATGGGCAGGCTTTTCTTGCCCATGGTAACCCACCCTCCCAAGTCTCTTGCATTTTGCCACTTTAATGGTGAGACCACTGACTACCCTCAAGTCCCCATCAGAGCCTACCATGGCCCAGACCTGGCATTCACAGAGGGCCTTACATTGACAATTTAGGTGTTTCTTCTACATGAGGCGATTCCTGTAGTCACAGAGATAGACCAACAAGAATGAAGGAAGGTGACTTTTTATATGCCCTTCTGGTCCCAAGATTATGTCTAGATGGATAGCAAGGTCACCAAGAATAATTTGGAGATTGCTAGGGACTTGTTTTGAAGTGTTTTCAAGTCTGACTGAGAACTCTGACATTAAGAAATAAATAAGATATGAATATTTAAAATCATGTTTTCTTTAAAAAAAAAAAGAATGAAAGAAGGTGTTCACCTTACAATTTTCAACTTGTGCCATCACTGGACTGCCATGTGTATTTTTTTTTCTTTTTTGCTTGAGGAAGATTAGCCCTGTGCTAACATCTGTGCCAATCTTCCTCTATTTTGTATGTGGGCTGCCGCCTCAGCATGGCTGATGGAGTGGTGTAGGTCTCTGCCCAGGATCCAAACCCACAAACCCCGGGCCGTCAAAGCAGAATGCATGCAACTTAATGACTAGGCCATGGGGCTGGCCACTTGTGTGTAAATTATTATTGTTAAAAATTCTGAAATTATCTTGTGAATAGCACAGGTACAATGAATTGTACATTTGGGGTGTTTTAAATGGATTATTTTATTAAACGTGCTACAATTTTTATAACCATTTTGCCATTTCTGCAAAATGACAAAGTAATAAATGTAGCTGAGCCTGTTCACAATGCTAGGGTGACCAATGTCACAGGTTTTCTGGCATGTAGGACTTTCAGTGCTAACACAAGGACAGTCCTGTCCAGGCAAACCAGGATGGTTGGTCACCCTACTTAAGCCCTTCAGAGTGTATCACACTCTGATCTTACAGGATGGCTGGTTTCTCACTGGCTGAGTCTAGAAGCCATCTCCCCATCCTACTGAAACAGCACTCACACTAGGAGCAATCAGCCTGGAAGCACAGACGCCTCCACACACTGCTGCCCACTCCTTCCCAAGTCAACCTCTAACTCAAATAGAACATTTGACGACAACGACAACCAATGCCATTACATAATGTGCTTTATATAAGTCACAGGAGTGTTTTATAAACTAAAAACAAGATGAATGTAGAAATTTTACAATTTTTATTAGGACCTGGCAGAAATTTAGCTTTCTCAAAATCACCTGGAGGCTGCTGCCACACCTATGTGATGTCAATTCAGAAACTTCCAAAGTTCCAGGGCTGAAATTTGGAATATCCAAGACAACTGAGGGAATAGACTTTTGAATATGTAATGAAATAAAAGCTTTGGAGAGTATACGGTTCAGCTAAAACTGTAACCTGTCTGCGTTACATAACTGAAAAATCAATACACAATGTTACTGACAACCGAGCTATTGTATTGTGGAGGTTTTGTGATGAAACAGAGAGTCGTAAAAGAGAATGATGGTGTTTTCCATGCATCATATGTTGCCCTCCAACCAATGGCATGACCTGGGGAAACCATAAATAATGATTTACAGCAAGACTCAAGCCTTGAAATAGTCATTTGTGATCAAGTTTGATGAACATCTTTGCCTGTTGATACTTAAAAAACAATAAAATAAAAGACTTCAAGACCTGAAAGATAATCATCAACATGTTAAAAGAATAAATAGATTACAGAAACTTTACTAACTGACCACTCAAAACTTGGCCTTTCACAGCATCAGTAAGATTTAAACTGCAAGGTCAGTCAGAACAAAGGCAACTGTAGTTTATGAATGACTGAAAATGGATCAGCTTTATGAAAGTGGAGAGCCAAATAAGAAGGTCCCATCACAAGGATGTGGTTTGCACATTCACATCTGTGTCTGTGGGAAGGTAAATTGCTACAAACTTTTCAGAGGGCAATTTGGCTCTATATACAAAATTTTAAATACAATGTCCTCTGAGCAAAGCCATTGCTAAGAATTTGGTGCACAGAAATGCTGGCACAGATTTGCAAAAATACGTGAACAAGGGCAGATATTTCTGAATATTTATAATATTAGTAATAGTGAAAAGTTGACAACCTAGATGTTTAATAGTAGAGTTAAAAACTTCACTGTAGATCCATACTGAAGTGATCAGAAAGAAGGAGGTGGATTTATATGCATTGATTTGGAAATAAGGCTGGGATCTACTGGGGAGAAGATAGCAAGTTGCAGAGCAGTATGCGTAGTATGATTTTATTTTGTCAAATAAATTTAAACCAATCTGAATATACATTCATATGTTTGCACATAAATAATACACATTCATATGTGTGCACATAAATAATTCTGGAAATACCATATTCATAGCAAACTGTTAAGAGTGTTTAATGCTTAGGAGTGGGAGTGTTTCATTTGAAATTTTTTAGGATGTACTTAACATTACTTTTTGTTTTTTAAAGCAGAATTTTTTGTTTGTTTGTTTCTTTTAAGAACTGAGGAGCATGTTGTCAGTCAGGTCCTAACTCTGACAAATTATTGTATTTCTCCCCTGCACTGATCACATCAGAGACATAAGGCAGTGGTTACTGTATACAAAAAGACACCATGGACCCCGTAAGTAAAATCAGGCCTCTCCACACCATCCCAGGCACAGGGATAAAAAAAAAAGAGCTGCTCTAGCCTACTATATTTTTGGCAAAAGGTTTCAATTAGGTAACACATGAAAGTCATTTACAAATAAAGATAATATATTATTTAAAGAATTAAAGTTATATATTTATACCTATACATATTGCTCTATTTTAAATCTGGAGGATAAAGAATGCTTTTCCTTCTTCCCTAAGTTATTTCTTACTTCCCTTGGTCTTCCTAACTCTATATCTGTCTCTCTCTAGATACCATTCAATGAAAGTAAATTTTAAGATATTTTAAAACAGAAAGCAGAAGCTGTCTGTGAGTGGCTCTAAAAGAAGTGTTATTTCTGAAAGGTTCCAAATGGGCTGGGGGAATGGAGTGGGTCAGGATGTATTTGTGGGATCCAACAAGTGACTCAACAATTACTAGGAGACTAAAGAGCAACTATGCAAAGACCACGGGTAACTCATCAAGATGACACTTCTGTTCCTTCCCATTAACAATGCCTGTCAATCAACTTAGTACTCTGTGAAAGCCACCAAAGAACTAATGGGGAGTATTAAAAATGCAGAGAATTGAGGAGAACTTTTTGAACAATAGCAGTTTAATCTTGGAAAACATCATTTGAACTCTTATATAGGGATTAACTTTTTTTTTTTTTTTGGAAGATTAGCCCTGAGCTAACATCTGTGCCTGTCTTCCTCTACTTTATATGAGGGACACCTGCCACAGCATGGCTTGATAAGTGCTGCATAGGTCTACATCTGGGATCTGAACCTGTGAACCCTGGGCCCCCAAAGCGGATTGTGCAAACTTAACCGCTGCACCACTGGGCTGGCCTGGGATCAACTTTTAATTAAAGTATACTATATAAACATAAAAGTACACAAATAATAAATGCACAGCTTCTTTCACAAACTCAGCACTCCCATGTAACCAACATCCAGATTAAGAAATAGTACATTATCAATACCCCAGGAATCCCATTTTTTTAAGTGTCAGGTGACAGTATATGTGTGGCAGTATATGTGCCTGTTTCTGGACCCTCTTGGGAAGGAGCAACATTGTCACAATATTGAGTTCTCCAATCTATGAACATGGTCTATCTCTTACAAAGGGTAGCTTTATGATTCAATAGCCAATCTGAGAAATGCAGGAAAATCAGTAAGTGACTAAGTTCATCAACTTCTTTCGGGCTTCTGAGGGTCCCTGCAGGGTGATGTCCTGTTTCACCATATTCCCCAGGAAGGATGTGGATGTGCTCCTTGGCTTCATGAACTGAGTAAAGTTGCCATGTGGAGCCTCCAGTTTTCTAGCCACTACTCCCATTTTACCATCCCAATCACTGCAGGTGTTTGGTCTTCCTCCCTCCACAGGACATCCTTCATCATCTCGTGCCACTTTTTCTTCAGATCCTCTGCTAAGAATTTCCAGTATGACCCACAGCAAAGCTATGGCCTTCCATCTTAGGTGCAGGGCTCTTGGTCCAGCATCCTTCCTTGCTGGCCACT